CCCAGCTCTCGAGGAGCTCACATCCCAGTTGGGGAGACAACACATATGGAAGATTTCAACTGCAAGTAGTCCAATAGAAAAGTCTGACAGTCATTGGAGGGCAAACAAAGCAGGGGAGAGAATTCCTTCTCTTTAATGTCACTTCCACTGATACAATCTTCTCAGTTTCTGATATTGAACCATCTGATAGTGTCAAAGACTGCTGATCAGAACTTTTACTTTCTGGGTCTTCATGGCTGTAGCATGTGCAGGAATAGGTCCCAGGCTGCACACGGGTTGTTTTCCAGGATGATGGCTGAGGACACTGTGCGGGAAGCATTACTATTCCCAAAGCTTTTCAATTCACGGTCCTGGCTGTCTCCATCAGACTGGAGGGACACTGTAGTCAAAGTGTTGGTTTGACTTGCAGGGCACATGCTGCCTACCATCTCTCCATAAGGGTGTTGAAGCTCAGCTGGACTGTCTGCCCTATATGAGAATGGCTCACTTCTCACAGGAAGTGCCTCCCCAGATGATGAGGGTGAGGGCTGAGCTAGAAGCAGGACCAATGTAGGGGAGGGGTTCTTGTGCTTATCTGCAGTTGGTTGGCAGTAGCTGGTCAGAAGTTGCTGTGGTGATGATGAAGGTGGGCCCCCTTTACACCATAATTTCTCCCTCAATGATTGGCTTCAGAAACTGAGTTGGAAGCAGGCATGCTAGTTTGAAAGACACTACTATACACAAGGCTCTTGGGCTCAGGGCTCTAGACTGCTTCTGAGGAGGTCTGAGGGGGGACAGTGGTCAAGAGGGTAGTGTGCTTTGACTTGCTGGCACACACTACCTCCTCGGGGTGCTCTGCTGCATTACGCACACTGGCTTCTCTGCCCTGTCTGTGGAATTTAGATAATATGATATGGTGGAAAGAGCATGAGCTCTAGCTCCAGATCTGTCACAAACTACAATAGGTGGTATCTTAGGACAGACAAGTCACTTCACCTCTGTGTACTTGAGATTGCTCCTCTATAAAATCAGAGAAATGACCTAGGCAGACTCTAAAGTTCCTTCTAGCTCATCTAGTCTACATTCTATTTTTGTCTTGTTTGCTCATTTTCCCAGTCTACTTCTTGACTTTGGATTTTGTCATTTTGTCATTCTACCTTTTATGTCCTTCTGCTGCTTTCACAGCTCAGTCTGGAGGCCTTTAAGTTTTTAGTGCTTCCAAAGTGGAGTGATCTGGGAGCTCTGGCCCCTGCACCTTTGCAACCGCTCCACTCCTTTCTGCCCTTAACCTATGACCAGGATTTGGGTAACGGGCAACAGAGTTGCCAGATGGCATCTGTTCCTTCTCCCAGTGCTACTACAGATGTCCCCTAAGATCTTTCTGACCCAGTGTTCAGTCCCCTTACTGCTTGTGGGCACTGAGCTACTCCCCGCACAGCTGGTGCTGCTACCACCACTAATGCCACTTCTACTGCATGGCACTACTGGCCAGCCTCCACCCTAATGTCTGCAGACCTCTCTGTCTTCCTAAGCTACAACGGACTGGAAAAATGACTCACTGTGACTTTCTCTTGGCTTTCCCACTCAGAATTCCATTTAGTGCATTATTTTAAGTTGTGCAGAGGATGTGTTGGGAAAACTCTGCAAAATGCTGGCTTCACTCCACTATCTTGACTTCACCCCGAGAATTTTATTGATCTTTCTATAACTAGATTCATCATCTTCCCCAACCTAACTTCTCTATCAATAACAACATCTCATCAGCAAGGTCTAAAACTTGAAAGATATATTCAACTCTATCATCTTTCTTGTCCCACATAGCAAACACCAAGTCACCCATTTTTTTCCTTCAAAAGTGACTCATTCACCTTTTCATCTCTATTCTGATTGCTACCACCTAAACCAGACTGTGAGCCAAATTAATGCCATTGACCTCTCTGATTTAATTCCCTTCATCCTTCCAATCCTTCCTAAAAGCTATTGCTAGATTAAATCTTTTTAGTCTCTCTCTTATCCCTATATTGTATCTATTTTGCTGTCTCTCTGGTAAGATTGTAAACTCCTCAAGGCCAAAAACTATTTCATTGAAGTCTTTGTATCCACTGCACCTGACACGTGGTAGGTGTCTAATAAATGCATGTTAATTAATAAGGTCACTCCTCTGCTACAGAACCTATTTCCTACCACGTCAGCCTCTACAGGTACTACTTTATATAATCAGTCTTATTTCCCATTTATATTCAATTTGTACCTTTTACTCTCATCAAATTAGTTTCCTCACTCACACGTGATTACACCGTGTTCATCATCACTTCCGTAACTACATTAAGGCTATTATCTTTTTCTGAAATGCTTTCCCTTCTTCCTTCATCCTAACTTTTCCACTCGGTAGGACCTTCCACAATTTATGCCCTACCAGCACAGCCTTTGGGAACCCAGCTATAATGAGATATCAGAGTTTTCATTTGATATCTATAAGGTTTTATATAGGTGGTTGATATCCCCATGACAAAATTTAAACAGCACAGTCTGGACATCTGACCTGGAAAGGCAATACACCTAAAGCTCTTAATTTGTTCATTAATTAGTGTGGCCGATGTACCTCAGTTTTCCCATCTACAAAAGTATCTGTCCAACCTACTACATATATATATATGTATATATATATATATGTGTATATTATATATATACACATATGTATGTAAATAAATGTGTGTATGTAAGCTCATTTATTTACAGTATAATAGAGCTAGTTATCAGAGCACAGAGAAATACTCAACTTCATGCCACAGATTGTATTACTAATCTTAGCCATTCATCTTGACTATTGTTCACAAAGGATAGATCACCAGTTACCAAAAAGGACCACAAAGCTTATTTCCTATCTTACTAACAAAGTACTGATAGCATCATTTTTGTATATAGAGGAAAATATTAAGGAGATAGTATATAAAAAGTACTATACAAATGCAATTTTAAAATAGCAATTACTATTCTTCCCTAAACAGCTCCTAGAACCATGGCTTAATTTACATCTTTCAATTTAAGGATTTTTATTAAATGTTCAGCTTCTAAAAGTAGTACCAAAGCAAGGTATGTGATATGGCTGTAAATAAATAATTAAATTTCTCTCTCTCTCTCTCTCTCTCTCTCTCTCTCTCTCTCTCTCTCTCTCTCTCTCTCTCTCTCTCAAACAAATGTACTTAATCATGACTGTCACATCATACAAAAATACATGCATACAATTAATGAGAAAATTGATACTACCTTCTGAATTTCACAAAAGTAAAGATGATTTTGGCAGCATGAAAGCCTCATAGATCAAAGTATATGATGAGGTGTCTTAAAATGAGAAATAACCCTTACATTGAAACAATTAACACAGAGTAGATTAAAAAATATCTTTTTGAAAGTGGTAGGAATACACTTTTGCCTGAAAAACTAAAGTGAACTAGGTTAAATCGGACCAGACTTTACAAAATATAGTCAATTCTGTGGGCTCAAACAGAACAAAAGTTAAGACAAAACATTCACCTAGCAAATGCTTTCATTTCAATTTGCACTTTAACAAAAATATCACTAGCTGGTAGTATTGATCATTTACTATTAATCTAGAATACTACACAAGGCACCCCGAAGAGAGAAGTAGGAAAGTTTAATGCACAAAGTAAATCAGTGCTCAGTGTCATCAAAATTATAAACTAGCTTATTAAAGTCACTAACAATAAACAAGTCAGTCAACAAGCATTTTTATCTCTTTCATTTTAAACCAAGATTGTGTAATCTTCATGGAATAGGAGTCAGGATAATTTTATGCAGTATAATCTGCTTTTTTCCTGTCAGAGAGTCTAAATGTGAGAAGGAATTTAAGTGAAAATGACCAGCAATTCTTACGCTAATTAGATTTACAAAAATCTTCATTTATTAAAACAAAACAAAAATCTTACTGCACCATTATTATTTAGTCTATGAGTCAAATGCTTAAGTCTGGATGTTAATGGTCACATTAAGACTTTGTCAAACTTTTTCTTAAAAAAAATACACCTTAATTTGGTTTTGGTTGCCATACAATTAGGGATAAAGCAATCTATAACGATAAAAAAAAAGTTTTCATTTTAAATGAAACAGTCAAGAAAGATAAGAAAATGGAAACCAAAACAAAGCATCTGTGCCAGAAGCCAAAACCCAACTCATCAGCAAGAATACATGCACTATTCAAAGTGACAGGAAGTATTGCCAGCACTTCACACCCAGATGGGTTGGCATCATTATCAACTACGGTGCCACCCATCAGAAGACTACGCACGACCCACCACCAGCCCTTAAAAGTTGAGGAAGGAATAAAATCATCATCATTTTATTTCTAAAGGTGTGAAGGGTGAATCCTCTCTCAACTCCGGAGCAGATGACAAAATACAAACTCAACCTTTTCACAGCCAGCTACGACTGAAAAGTTGGAGTGTGTGTTGTGACCAATTGGTGCCCTTGCTTCTGGGTCAGAGGGCAAAGGCTGTCCTTAGCCCTGGGGGTTACCTATGAGATCCAATAGCCCAGACCCACTGCAGGAACCTTTGTTTTTAAACGGCGATGTAGCCAGTCCAATTCAATTACATTCAATAAATATTTATTAAGCGCTAGGCACTGTGCTAAGCCAATGACAGTCATAAATAAAACAACGCTGCTCAGTTCTTCGCCCTCCAAGCCCCAATTCACTTTGTCTCTCCCAGAGAACTGTGGAGGGGATCTGGGGGGAGGAGTGTACCCCGTACTCCTCTTTATGGGGCCCCACCACCACCTGGGAGCCTCTTCCAAGACGCTCCTTTCAGCACCCGGAAACTCCGGACAGTTTTCTACCCCGCCAAAGGGTGAGCAAGGTGGCCCTCTGGGAAAGTTCCGCGCCGCGCGGGGCAGGTTGAGCCCCGAAGTCCCTTCCCCAGTCCAGCCGCGTGCGCCCCCGCCCCCGGGGTCTCCCCCGCCCCCGGTCACCTAGCAACGCGCCGGGACGACCCCCCTCCCCTCACCTAGCAGCGCTCGGAGGTGCTTCAGGCGAGTCAGCACGTCCTTCTTCGGGTCCAGCACTTTCTGGGTCGATTTCTTGACATCCCCGTGGCTCCTCCGGGAGAACATCCCGCTGCGGGAGCCCGAGCACCGAGCCTCGGGGGAAAGGTAGCCGCCTCCGCTGCGCCGGGTTACTGCATACGGTCACTGCCGCGCCGAGGTGGGCACACACACACACACACACACACACACTCACTCACTCACACACACTCTTACCCACGCGAGCGCTTCCCCCACCCCCACCCGCCACGACCACTCATCCACTGCCCCCAAAACCACCACGGCCGCCGCCTGCCCGCGGCTCCCTCCTCTGGGGCTCCAGGAAGGAGGGGAGGGGCCCGGCATGGGGAAAAGGGGGAGGAGGGAAGGAAGGAGGTGTCAACACGGAACTGACCAGCCCTACACCACGTGAGAAGGCGACCAGCAGGCCCCCCCCCATCCACAAACTCACGCGCTCAGCCAGTCCAGGCTCTCCTTGGCCGTGACTCCGCCCCGCCCCCGCCCCACCAAGGTCCCAACGCGCAAGCGCAGGAGTCTTACAAACGAGGCGCCTCTTTCCTTCTTCCCCCTCCTACCCTCAACCAAAAAAAAAAAAAGAAGAAGAAGAAGGCTGAGAAGCGCGCGACAAAGACTAACTACCCCCCGAACAGCTCCGGAACTACAAATCCCGGCGTGCAAAGTGCCAAGTGACACTTGGCAGGGTACGGAAGAAGAGGTCTGCGTGAGATGTTTCCATCGCCCCTCCCTTGCCTATCATCTTAGCACTTGCCACACGCCCTGCTGGGAAATGTAGTCCTTCATTGAACCGAGCCCAGGGATTGTCTTCCAAACCAAGGCCAGCTATCCTAAGCGGGTATGAGGGAGACCTTTGTTCCGCCTCCTCGCCCCGTTGCACTATGGGACTTGTAGTGACTTTACCCTCCAGGCACGCACAGTTTGCTGGGTTAGTAGGACACAATCACGTCATCTCAGTGCTAGAAGCCTACAAGTTGTCTTTATAGGAGTAATTCGAGTCTCCGTTTGGGGAGTAGATGTTTGGGCCACCGGCAATTTTAATCCTTTATTTTAATAGAAAATTGTGCTCCTCATATTTACTCAATGCAGAAGAATTTTTGGCATTTTCAAATTGAAATCAGCATTCTTGGGTCCTCCAGCTCAGAAGGATACTGTCTCAGTCAGCTGACTGGGTGTGACAGCCCGTGTAGGTATTGCACTAGGCTGTAAATTTGGATTATTAGATTCTCATTTTAACCTCGGACGCCCCCTGAGTCGTTGGGCAATGGAGCAATGGAAGGAAGCTTGATAACAGTGGAAAGATCACGTGCGCTAAGTCAGAGGGTTCAAATCCTGTCTCTGATGCTTACTTACTATCTGTGGGAACTTAGCAAGTCACTTCACTCAGTTTCCTTACTAGGTCTATGACTCTATCACCTATTCCTCTTAGCTTTTAAAATGAGTTAAAGTTACCTACCATCAAGCTTCCAGGATTGTTCTGAGGATTAATGAAGATTATTATTTGGAGAAAATGCACACTTTTTTTCTTTTTTTATGCAAGGTCATGTAATATTCCAGTGGCAGAACCAGAAATAGAACCTGTGAGATCTGACTCACACTGCACTAAGTTTTTTAAGGTCATCAGCTCCTTCCCTGAGGGTAGAATTTTGAGATGCAGTATGGGGTCTTTTTCAAACACAAAAAAATTTCACTAGAATTGGATTTCCTGATTCATCAACCCCAGAAGAAATTTCTATCTCCTCCAATAATATATTGGAGCAGTATATTAGAAACAAAAGTTGTTGGCAATCCTAGGCATTTCAGGTGGGGGGGGTCATACATTGTTATAACAAGTGTTCATTTTTATCTGATCTGAGGAAACAGAATCAATACCTGAAAACAAGAGATAACGTGAAAATTTCTTTTTAGTTCTTTACTTCAAGTCTTCTCTTGAATGCAAGTACAATGCTGCCAAGACGTATTTTAAAAAATAGAAAAGCCTGAGGTTGAGAGTTAGTTTGCTATACTGGAAAGTACACTGAATTTGGAGGGAAGAAATTGGAGTTTAAATGAGAGCTTAGATATGAAGCACAGGACCATGAACAAGGCACATAACCTCTCTCTTCAGTTTCCTCGTCTGTAAAATGAAGAAAATAAGACTTATGCTACCTACCTCACAGGGTTGTGAGGAAAGCGCTTTGTCAACCTTAAAGCACTGCATGTATAGTTGTACTTTACTTTTAGAGATACAAAAAAGCACAAAAGTAGCTAAAATGAGGGGCCCCAGAAGGCTTTTTTTTAATCTTTGAGCTTTATCTAGTTTCTATCACAGCCACTACTCTGCTTTATTCCGCAACATTGACTTGTACTTTCAACATTCCCAGCCACTAATTTGCACTCCTTCACTGCCCTACTTAGTCAGTGATCTACACTGTCAGCACCCCACCCTCATCCTCACCCTAGTTCCAGCAACAATGATGATAAGAACTGAATGAAATAAAAAACTGCTCCTAATTAGGAAAAGAATTGAAGATCCCTGGGTTTGAAGAATCAGAAGAGGAAAGAAGTCACTAACTGGATAATTATAAAAATAGCTAACATTTATATAATACTTATATGTGCCAGGCACTGTGCTAAGTGCTTTGCAATTATTGTTTCATTTGATTTTCATGACAACCCTGGAAGGTAGGTGCTATTATTATCCCCATTTTGCAGATCAGGAAACTGAAGCAAATAGTGGTTAAGTGGCTTGCCCAGGGTCACACAGCTAGTAGGTATCTGAGGCTGGATTTGAACTCATATCTTCCTGGTTCTAGGCCTAGGGCACTATCCCCTGCATAATCCAAATTTACCATTTGTGGGAAAGCCCTGTACCATCATCCACAACTATTTATGAATTCAAAGGTATTAGAAACAGATCCTATCTTCTGCTAATTTATGAATGAATAAATAAAGCATTTGTTAAGTAGTTAGCATGTGCTAATCACTAAGACAGTCCCTGCTGTCAAGGAGCTAATATTCTTATGGGAGAGACAACCTATATGGAGAGTGTCAGCTATAAATCCAATGAAAAGGTCCCATGGTCATGACCCTAAAGCCATTTCCACTGATAAATTCATATCCATTCCTGATGTTAAACCATTTGACAATGCCAAGGACTTTGGTGGCAAGAACTTTCCTTTTTTTTGAGTGTGGCTGTAGGACCTGCAGGAGTAGCTAGCAGGTTGCTTCTCCACAGGGGTTGTTTCCCAAGATAATAGCTTTGGATATTGCCAGAAGCATTGCTGTCCCTAAGGCTTTTGATTCAGAGTCTTGGGAAGTCTCCATCCAAGGTCTGAGGGGAGATGGTGGTCAAGGTGGTAGCAGTGGTAGTTTGATTTGCCTAACACATACTGCCTCCTGTCTCTTCCTTGGGGTGCCCTGCTGCTTCAGCTCAGCTGGCTTGCCTGCTTTATGTGTGGCATGTGTTTGACAGTTGGTGAGGATCCATTTTCTACAGGAGTTACTTCCCCAAATGATGTGGGGCTGGGCAGGAAGAAGGGCCAGTGATCTAGGGGGCTGTCCTCATACCCAAGGTTCCTGTGACGTTTATTTATATTATTTATATTATTATTTATTATTTATATTATTGTGTTATAATTTTATCATGTAGACATGGAGGCAAAACATAAACAAGAGATAAATAACCCTCCCAAAAAAAAAAACAACAATCAAAGCTGAACATCAGAAAACCTGGGCTCCAATCACAACTCTCCTACTTATGACCTCTGTGACCCTGGACAAGTCAGTCAACCTCTAGGCTTCAGTTTCCTCATCCATAGCAATTAAGGGGTGAAATTAGAAGATACCTGTGGTCTCTCTGCTCTCCTCATTTTACAAATGAAGAAAAAGGCCCATGAAGTTAGTGGCCTACACAGCATCATAAGTGAGCCATTTTGGTCTCTACAATTTTCTCTCACTAAGAATTCTACTCTGATGCTACCTTTTTGACTGTGGGCAAATCATTTTGGATTCTGCTGTCCTTTTTGGTGACTTCCTCATGTGGCACAGTACATCTATGTCAGCTCTAGACATACTTCACTTTATTGCCTGAAGATTTTGCCGGATGCCTTGTACAGACCCTCCTTATCTTTTACAGACATACCACACCCCCATTTCCAGTTCTAGAACCATAATCTTTGTGGCTCCACTCATCCTTCCTACAATTTTTCAAATCAAAACATCCCTCCTTGGCCACCACTCTCTTATACATGTTGTTTCCTCCTATGAGAATATAAGCTTCTTAAAGATAAGAACTATCTCCACTTTTGTATTTGTCTCCAGCACCTAGCACAGAGCTTAATATATGCTTTTTTTTTCATTCCTTCAATCATGCATTCATTCATCAATCTGGGTCTCTGTTATCTCATTTATAAAATGAAAGGGGCTGGACTAGATCACCTGTAAGATGTCTTCCTATAATTCTAAGTGACTAGTACTCTTCCTCTTTGACATGAAAATAAAACAAGGGTGCATTAAACTGAGGTTGTTTAACTTGGAGCACAGAAAACTCAGGGGAGACATGACTGTTTTCTATCAAGTATTTGAAGGACTGTCATATGGAAGAAAAATTCTCTCTGGCCCTAAAAGGCAGAACTAGAAACAAAAGGTGAAAGTTGCAAAGAGACAAATTTAGGTTTGATGTCATGAAAAACTTGGCAGTCCAAGAACTTTACAAAAGTAGAGTTGGGCTGTCTCCAGGGACACTGAGTTCCCCCTCATTGGAGGTCTTCGAGAAAAAAGATGGATGACTACTTGTCAGGAATATTGGAGTGAGGATTCTTTTTATTATATTGTATGGACTAAATATCCATGAAAGTCCTTTCCAACTCCGAAATTCTGTGAAGTAATTACTTTGTTGTGTCTTCTCCATTCCTTTTCTCTGTAGATCTTCCATTTTCTAGGTATTTCTCCCCTACTATTTCCTATTTTTCCTTGCTGACCTTCCATCGACCTTTACCAAATAAATAAAGAGACTGAAAACCATGTGAGAATGGTAGGAGATGCAAAGAAAGTAAATAGAAACCTACCTCCTTATGTTCCTTATAAGGTGTATTTAGTTGGGCATCCAAAGAAGAAGGCAAAAGATATCTGGCAACTTACAGTAGATTATCATGTGCTGAATGCAGTTGTCTACCAATTGCTCTGGATGATCTTGACCTTGTCAATGTGGTAGACCAGGTAGCCCAGGTCCTGGGTGAATGTCGTGGAGTTAGTAAATTTGCCAGTGATTTTTTCCTCCCCTTGTAGATGAGACTAGTCAGCTGTTTACTTCTCCCTGGAAAGGAATTCAGTATACCTTCCCTATTCTTCCTCAGAGTTATTTAAATTCTTCACATAGCCATAGTTTGTTGGGCAAAGATCTGAAAGGGGCCCCGCTTTCTTACAATATCAATATCTAGCACCATATTGATGATGTGATGCTGGATGGGCCAGATGAAAACACACTAGCAGAGACCCTAGAGACCGTAATATTAGTTCATATGAGTGGCAAGTGGTGGGTACTAGTTAAGTCTACCACCACAGCAGACACCATCAAAGTTCTTGTAGAATATATGCTTATGCCTTATGGATTCCTCTGTATCATTGCCTCTGATCAGGGCACCCATTTTTCTCTGAAGAAATCCTGATATTGAGCCCTTTGACGTCACATTTTTTGGCTTCCCATCTTCCATATGATCTTCAGTGAGCATGTATCATTTAATTCTGAAATGGACTTTTAAGACAACTTTGACTTAAAGACAACATGCCAATAATTGAGGTTTGAAAGCTGTGAGACTTTGTCTTTCATATCCAGAAGAAGGAGTCCAGCAGTTTCTTGCACTGTCCTTCAGGAAGATTCCCCTGATAAGGATATAATTTGAAACATATTCCCATTAAGTCCTCTCTAGTCTTTCCTTATTTCATTTTCTGTGCTGAATCACCTGGGTGTTGAGGTTTCTGCTGCTTCAGAAAGTTCTCTACACCCTTGGAAACAGTCTAAGTCTTTAATTGGCAGGCTTCCTTTTTCATAAGATAGTTCAGATAATTCCAAGATCTGGAATTATTGGGAGATACTTTGCTCATTGACAATATGGGGAAGTTGAAACTAACTTTTCATAATCATGGCAACTGGGAATTCACCTGAAAAAAAAGGGGGGGGGATCCTTTAGCTGACTTATGGCAATAGTCCCGGGAAGAAAACAAGGGGGAGTCTTCATCTAATCCCCAAGGATAAAGAGGAGATAACCCCTCAGTAGGGGCCTCTAAAGGGGCCAAAATGTAGTATCACCCTCATGATGGGGAACCCCAGGAGCCAAGGAGGAGGTTTGGCTGCAAACACTGAGTTGGTGGTAGAGCAGATGAGTCCCAATATTAATTCAGATCCCAGGACAGGTTGTATGCAAGAGACATGACCCTTAGCTACCTTGTTACATAATAGACCTACAATGGGACTCAGTGGTGGTGTTGGACCCAATGTTCCTCTTAATGCTCCTGGTCATCGGAGTTATTTTTATGCTAGGAGATCTATTTTGAATTGCGCCTGGCATTACCTCCACCCTATGAATTATACTTGTGCAAGATTGTTTTATATTTTTGTTGTTTGTATAAAGCTCCTTCTCCAGTGTTGTTTATGCTAGGCTTCTTCCAAAGGTCAGAATTGTTTTGAGACTAATTTAGTGGTGGAAGATCCCCTGGAAAAATTTTGGGGCTTTGACATTAAGAATGGGATATTGCAGGAGCAGCATCTGTCTTATGTAGGCTGGGCTGGTTTCCTTCAGTGTAGGTGAAGAGCCTAGTCATTGGATTATGATTCCTTTAGCTTATCTTCACCCTCTCCCACCAAGCCTACCATTTTTATAAACTGTCAAGGGTGCCACCACCCTTCCAGTGCTCAAGGTTTACAACCGTGGCTTTGCCAACAACTCCTCACTTTCCTTCACACCACATATCCAATCAGTTGCTAAATCTTGTCATTTCTACCTCCATAACCTCTCTCACATCCATCCCCTTATCTTTACTCACAGAATCACCACTTCGGTGCAGATCATCATCACCCTTTTCCTGAACTATTGAAGTTATGTGCTAATTGGTCTTCCTGCCTTATCTTTCCCCTCTCCAATCCATCCTCCACAAGCTAACAGTGATTTTCCTTAAGCTCAGGCTTTATCACTCAGTTTCCCTCTTCAGTAAACTCCAGTGGCTCCCTGCTGACTGTAAAATCAAATATTATTTCATCATCATCTCATACTTCTTCCATAGTAGCTAATAATAATGGTAACAGCTAGCCTTTGTATAGTAGTTTAAGGTTTACAAAGTACTTGAAAAACATCTCATTTTATCCTTACAACAGTTCTGGAGATGAGTATTCTTATTATGCCCATTTTATAGAAACTGAGGCAGAAAGAAATTAAGTGACTTGTAGGGACAGGGGAAATTGCAGAGAAGGAAATTTCAAATTAGTATAAAGAAGACATTCCAACAAGTGCTGTGTTCAGAAGTAGAATGGATGATATCAACAGGTATTGAGATAACTAAAGAATTCTTCTACTTCTATTTTTCCAATCTTCCCACTCAGCTGAAAATGTCAGGGGTTTTGTTTTTTAAGATTAACAAAATATCTAGAGCCAACATGCTAATCCAAGTTTCATGGATTTTTGGTGTTAACTTTGATATTTGGAAATTTGATTTTTAGCCACTGTATTTATTTTTCAAATGAGTATCTTGTGTCTCTTCTGAGTAGGGTGTTTATTAAGATAGATGATACAGAGAGGTTACAGGATGAATGGCTCAATCACTAGGTAGCTTACTGGCAAAACAAGTGGCTTCATCTTCTGGAAACTTCCTGCAAGTATGGTGGGTTCTACTTCCCCTGTAATCTTTTCTTTGTCACTGTCTTCACTTGTTCCTGGACTTCTTTTCATTCCCACTCTGAGGAAGAGATGCCACCAGCCATGTTTGGCTGCTTGGTGGCAAGGAGGCTGAGAAAGGCCGCCAGCACCCTTTTGGAGCTATGAGTATTACCCAGACTCTATCTGCTGCACAGATTGGAATTTCAGTGGAATTACTGGATAATCTGGCCCACCAGACTCCTGTCAGCGATGCTGCTGTATCATCACTTTATTCATTCATTACATTCACTCAGAAGATGTTGGACAGCTTCTATAATTTTGCTTCACCATTCGCTGTTTTGAAGGTCCAGATGACACTAAATCCAATCCGGAATATTTGTTCAAGAAGTTGTGGTTCTGAAATGGCATGAATCCTTTCAAAAACGACTAACCCAGAAGCCTCTGTTTTAAAAAAGAACATTTGAGAAAACCTATGATATACTCATTTGTGGTATTTTTTCTTTATAAATTAAAAACCCCAAAAGAATAAAAATGTTTAATCTGATTTGGTTAAATATGTACTAATTAAAAATGTATTTTAACAGTAATGTGATTTTGATCCCTCTCCAAGTAATATAAAACTTACTTAAAATAGCATCACATTTATAAACTCTTTTCAGTTTCTTTTAACAGCATTGTGACCAACCACATGAAATTTATTTGGTATATTTCTCTCCTTTTAAAAACACTTCGCGAATATATAAATTTCCACATATTAGAAAATAACATACAAGACTAATTTTTTCTTAGGATTAAAAATATCTCAAATTATCAAAGGTGATTGTTTTTTCTATAGTCTGAAAGCTCATACTTTTTTCTCTGAATGTTTAGTAAAGTTGGAATGTCTAGTAATAGAAAAAAACTTCTCAATGAGTACCAATGATGTACTAAGTATATAGAATATTAAATTCATTTCCTATTCGATGTTATGGAAATTCTTGTTTTATTTCTCAAGCTTAGAATAAAATACATTTTTTAAAAAAATGAATGTTTATATAAAAAATAATTTTTGTGATCCCAATGCCCAGCTCACAGTCAGCACTTATTAAATGCCTATTAATTAATAAGCAAAAAGCCACCAAAATACCAAATAAACAACAAAAGAATCATATAAAATATATACTTCAAATGCTTTTCATTTTACTAAAAAGAAAATGTACATATATAAAAATTGATAAAATAACATCACATTTGCTTCAGTGCCCCTTCTGATCTTTTTCCTCTGCATACTTACCAGATTTTATTGTTGTTATTTTTATATAGTCCTATCTTTGTGTATGTGTATGTGTATCCTGATTCTTTCCATATTTTATATTCTTCATATTTGTCATTTTGCATTAAAATGATTTTTTATATTGGCCTTATATTTTTTATTTTGGCCTTAGGATTGCAACTTGCAATCTTGCAAATTACAAGATTGCAACTTGATGCAAGGAACAACTTCTTAGTAATTTAAGCTGTACAACCATGAAAGGGACAAGCTTGAGAGGGAGTGGATTTTTCCTCACTAAAGGTCTTCAAAAAAAGGCCGAATGTATTTGATAAGTGCATAGTAAAGGGAAATTCTTGTTCAGGTTTGGATTGGAGATTCTCTGACTCTATTAAATTGATTTTTGTTGTTGTTCAGTCATTTTCAGTTATGTCTGACTCTTCATGACTCCATTTGGGGTTTTCTTGGCAAAGATACTGGAGTGGTTTGCCATTTCCTTCGCCAGCTTATTTTACAGATGAAGAAACTGAGGTAAATAGGGTTATGTGACTTGCCCAGGGTTACACAGCTAGTAAATGTCTGATGCCAGATTTGAACTCAGGAAGATGACTCTTCCTAACTCCAGGCCCACCACTCTACCCACTGTGCCACCTAGCTGTCCCATTAAATTGTTACCTCAACATTTTAATAGATGTATGATCTCATCACTGTGGCTACTTCCTCCATCAAGACAGATTGCAATCTTTCTATACCTTCTCATCCTATGTGATTCTTGCCCATATTTTCCCATAAATTCTCCAAAGAGCATTTACTCAACTTTCTATTTCCCCAAGTGTAAAACAGGAATAATAATAATAATAATAATAATAATAATAATGCCTACCTCACAAGGTTGTTGTGGGGATCAAATGACATAATATATGTAAAACACTTAGCATAGTACCTTGCACATAGTAGGTGCTGAATAAATTAGTGTTCCCTCCCCCCTCCCCCACTCCTCTGGTGTATCCATGTACCAGTTGGACTATCCACCTGAAATCTCTCACTTTCTACACATAACTGACCCACCTCCTCTTGTTGTCAAACATGCGCTTGATGTCTTTAATATGACTGCTTGTGCATTTTGCCGTTGATAGTACACTACTGCCTCCATAAGTCCATCATGCATCCTTTTATTGACTCTTAAGTCACCAGCAATTTTGATTCTTCTGCAGTTATGGTGTCCCATGGTTTGAAAGTCACAAAAAATTATTGGTAAAATATGAATGTTAAAAACTTGGGCTTTTGTGCTAGTGAATGGCTTGGAATCACTAAAAGTGCTGCACTTTCCAAAACGCCATTCAGCTGTACCTCCTTCTTTTCAAGTTTGGGCCCATGGCTTCTCTCTAGTGCCTACCTAAGACATATATACCAATGGAGAAATTCATGAACCTTCCCTATGTCTCAACAATATGTGTTTTTATCCACTTTGTTTTTCCAGGGTGAAAATTATAAAATATAATTTATACTTAAATTTATATGTAATATATAAATATAATACATTTAATAATATACTATATAAGAATGTATAATTATGTTTTAATATATGATGTCTGGTATATAATATAAATACAACATATAAAATAATATATGATGATATAATAAAATATAAATAAATATATAAATAAATTTATATTTAAACTTACGTAAATAAGATATTTTATATATAATATAAATTATTCTCCTCATGTTAGACATATTGTCTGCTTTCAGCTTTGGTTTTTTTTTTGGGGGGGGGTTGGGGCAAGACAAGGAGGTTACAAGTAAAGCCACTACACAACTCTTGTACAACTAGATATTTTTTCCCTTTTAAAAATATCTGTCAGAAGTAGTTAAAGAAGGGAATCACAGGACCAAAAGGTATGATCGCTTTTGTAATTCTTATTATATGCTGACAGATTAATTTATAAAAAGATTGAAATAATCCAAAGCTTTATTAACAGTATAAGAGTGTATCTATTTCTCCCAGCTCTACTCCACTGAGTGAATTATTTTTGAAGATTCAATTAGCCACAACAAATATACTGATTCTATATACTGACTGGCAAAACATTTTGTTGCCAGGCATGTCAAAAGAATGCCCTGATAGTAATCTGAATGCAATGTTCTAGCAGTGCCTAAATTTTCATAGGTAGTTCTGATTTCAAGAAAAGAAAGTGTACTTTTAAGGAATTTGACAAAAAGAATATTCTTTGTCATAACATGTGCTCATATTTTTGGTACAGAAAATATGGTCATCATAGCTAAAAATAATGCCTAAAGGAAAAGAAATTTCAAGTGTTTCTCTAAATGTATTCAACCAGATGTTTATACAGCTGTACTCTTCAATCATGATATTCTCTGTTTTAAATATGTTTTCATTTTCCTTTATCAACAACATTCTATTCGTGTCTCATTATTTAAACATATGAGACATTACTGTCTCATGGTGAAAGAGCCAGTGCAAACTCAACTTGTCCCCTATATCTAGCCAGTCCCAGACCACCAGACAAGGCCATATTTCATATCCCCTCCAGATGTACACCTGGCTACCTTGTCATCTGCCCTGCTGCTGCTGGGTGTCTCCCCACCTCGATCACCCTCTCTGGCCCTGACTCTAGGGGGAAAAAAATGCCTCCAGTGCCTAGGGGAATTAATCTACTCAAGTTTAGAACTTCCAATGTGGATCCAAGCCATCTTGATTAGTGAATGAGCCAGTACAAATAGCTTACTCTATCTGGCCAGCCCCAGACCTCTAGACCAGGCCAGGCTTCTCATCCCTTCCAGCTATCTATACCAGCCATCTGGCCACCCATTCCCCTATTCCCCATCTTCAATTACTACCTCTTGCTCCAGACTCAGTCATCAAACCAATACTACCATACTACCATTGTTCCTAGAAAGGCTACGTCAATTAACTATTGTTTTACTAACCCAGTGACTCCCAAGATACTCTTTTCCCTGGCCACCGTTCTCACATATGTGATGTGTTCCCCTATTGGGATGTAAGCTTCTTGAGAATGGGGACTGTTTCACTTTTGTATTTATATCACCAATGGTTAGTCAATAGTCAATAAACATTTATTAAGCACCTACTATATGCCAGGCACTGTTCTAAGTGCTGAGAATACAAATATGAAAAAGAAAGGCAGTCCCTGCCCTCAAAAAGCTTAAAGTGTAATGAGGGTTAAAAACATACAAAAGGAACCTGAAAGGAAAAGAGGAAGGAAAGGGATGAAAAAGGTAGTCCAAGGAGCACAAGCTTGTGAGAAATGAAGAGACGAATGGCCTGGGGGCCAAAATGAAATGGAGGCTTTGGGAGGAGCTCTTACAGTACTGAGGATACTGATGATATGTGAGTATCAAAGTTGATGCAATTTCACAGGGATAATGGGTTTCCTGATGGAGTTAGCACAACACTTGGTATATAGGATGTGCTTAATAAACACTTCTTCATTCATTCATGAAAATATAAAACTAAGGATCAAAAATAGATACAATACTGTGCTCTGTAAGTAAGGATATATTTCTTTCAAAGATTATACTTAAAACATTTAAAATAATGGAACAAGCTAAAGAATAAATAAAACTAGAATAGAAATTGGCATACAAAAATAATGGTTAGGTGAAGCTGGAGACATGTAAGATTGTTTCATTACCAGCTGTCTTATATCTGCCTCTATACAGGAAATGTCACTGTTAGGTTCAATACTTTGTCAGTTTAGTGGGATAGAAAGCTATATTTGGATTCACGAAGACCTGAATTCAAATCCTATATCAAACACTTACTGGTTGTGTGCTTCTGGGAAAGTCATTTAACTTCTCTTAGCCTCTATTTCCTCATATAAGTAAATGAGGAAACTTCCTCATCTACCCAGAGGATTGTTGTGAGGCGCAAGGAGATAGCATATGTAAAGTACTTCGCAAAATTTAAAGTCTATATAAATGTTAGCTATTTTTTTTGTTATTTAGAATTAATGGTTAGATTTGGTGAAAAAACAAACATATGGAATAGTAGAAAAATAATTCTTTCAAACTCATTTTTAGCTTGAAATTTATCTTTTTATATTTCACTTACCATATATTGTCAATGGATAAGTTATCTGTGTTGTATCTTTTTAAGGACTCCTATGTGATTTTAATAAATACATAGGAAACATCTTGTTACAGGAGT